CATGTAGAGCCACAGGTGATCATGTAGAGCTGCAGGTGGTCATGTAGAGCTGCAGGTGATCATGTAGAGCTGCATCATGTAGAGCTGCAGGTGATCATGTAGAGCTGCAGATGATCATGAAGAGCTGCGTGTCACCTGATCCTGATCTCTGATATTGCGCCAAGGGGAAATTATTTTTACCGGACATTTTGACCGGAGGGATATAGATTTGCCGGTCTTAGTCCGTCAATTACCGGAAACTCTGCCCTATTTTACAAACCAAATGTCCCATTGAGAGATAATAAGATAAAGATGACCTGCAAATATTGTAACTATACTCACACCATACGTAAGGGATAATGTGCAGCGACGCGGTCATTATGGGTAAAAGAACACCGACAGGCAGATCAGGAGCCCGACGCGAAGCGGAGGGATCGAGATCGGCATGAAGGCAACTGAAGGCAACTGGCACTCAAAACAGCAAAAGCATAGCTCCAAAACTCTGAACACATTTTCAGCTCTGCACCCAAACATCACTTCAACATGGCCCTTTCTGCAAACACTGCCCACGGTTCTGTAAGTAAAACACGGGAATCTGAAGTAAAACACTGCCATTACTGTAAAACTGCAGCAACATTAACCGTTAAAATGAACACTTTTGCAAACTCTGTAGAAAGTTTTAAAATCAGAATCCAATTCATTGTCGTAAAGTAGGTTTAATTCCCTAAAATAACTTTTGTTGTGTTTCATGCTGCTTTGTTTTGTCCTGCAAACATACGAAACCCTAGAAATGTGCAATTTGAGGAAGTCACATTCATCTCTAATTATAATTACTCTCTGGGATTTTAGATCCCAGAAAAGTGAAGTACATTTATTTGTATTTATTTTTAACATTATTGAATTATTTTTAACTTAAAGTTAGTTTTATGTTTTTTTTCACATTACATCCTTTTTAAAACACTGAAGTTAGTTTACGATACGATACGATACGATATACTTTATTGTCCCCGTAAGGAAATTTGTTCTGGACTCCGTCCTGCAGTGCATACATGTACATATACAAACATAGTGGACATTAAGAGGCATACACATATCATCAGTCATACACCGTTTGAACAAACACAATACACAGACGCACATACTGACAATGGCGACCTATTGCACAGCCCTCATGGCCAACATTTAAAAAGTACATTTCATTACATTTGACTACATATCATTTCATGTGAATGTTAAGAAGCTTAATCGACATAGGTAGGAATGAGTGCTTATAGCGGTTCAGCCTGCTCCTGGGAACCCTGAATCTTCTACCAGAAGGTAGGAGCTGGAATTCTGGGTGGAGTATGTGGGTGGGATCAGACACAATTTTTTTTTGCCTGTCTGATAATCGACTGCTCGTATATGTTTTGGAGAGATGGGTGTTTTTTAACCCCCATAATCTTCATAGCAGTCTTTACCAGGCGAGCGATCTGTGACTTTGACTGCACTGTCAAGTTACCATACCAGGCAGTGATACCTCATGATGCTCTCCAACACTGCATGTTAGTTTGATCATTAAACACTGAGCTAAAATAGATACAGTATATCTCCCATATTATTTTTTTATTAGACTTTGTATTTGTGATCTCTCATTATCTGCTAGCTCCTGTCTGATTTCAGTATCAGAGTTTCTGCTTCCTCTCTGGAGTTTCTTTTAAGCATATTTGAACAGCTGTTATGTAACCTCCACTCTCTGCAGACTGCACACTGTTAGCGGCAATACAATCGTGTGTGTGTGTGTGTGTGTGTTTGTGTGTGTGTGTGTGTGTGTGTGTGTGTGTGTGTGTGTGTGTGTGTGTGTGTGTGTGTGTGTGTGTGTGTGTGTGTGTGTGTGTGTGTGTGCAACTGTTTCATATCAAACAGAGCTAAATCAGATCTGACCAGAGCAGGGCTGCGGCTCATGATTTAAGAATCAGTATTCATTATACACCTGAACATCAGCAGGAGAGGACTCTTTAAAGTAGAGACACTACATACTGATATACACCTGAACATCAGCAGGAGAGGACTCTTTAAAGTAGAGACACTACATACTGATATACACCTGAACATCAGCAGGAGAGGACTCTTTAAAGTAGAGACACTACATACTGATATACACCTGAACATCAGCAGGAGAGGACTCTTTAAAGTAGAGACACTACATACTGATATACACCTGAACATCAGCAGGAGAGGACTCTTTAAAGTAGAGACACTACATACTGATATACACCTGAACATGAGCAGGAGAGGACTCTTTAAAGTAGAGACACTACATACTGATATACACCTGAACCTCAGCAGGAGAGGACTCTTTAAAGTAGAGACACTACATACTGATATACACCTGAACATATACTACATACTGATATACACCTGAACCTCAGCAGGAGAGGACTCTTTAAAGTAGAGACATTACATAGAGTACTGATATACACCTGAACATCAGCAGCAGAGGACTCTTTAAAGTAGAGACACTACATACTGATATACACCTGAACCTCAGCAGGAGAGGACTCTTTAAAGTAGAGACATTACATACTGATATACACCTGAACATCAGCAGGAGAGGACTCTTTAAAGTAGAGACACTACATACTGATATACACCTGAACATTAGCAGAAGAGGACTCTTTAAAGTAGAGACTCTACATACTGATATACACCTGAACCTCAGCAGGAGAGGACTCTTTAAAGTAGAGACTCTACATACTGATATACACCTGAACATCAGCAGGAGAGGACTCTTTAAAGTAGAGACACTACATACTGATATACACCTGAACATCAGCAGGAGAGGACTCTTTAAAGTAGAGACACTACATACTGATATACACCTGAACATTAGCAGGAGAGGACTCTTTAAAGTAGAGACACTACATACTGATATACACCTGAACATCAGCAGGAGAGGACTCTTTAAAGTAGAGACTCTACATACTGATATACACCTGAACATCAGCAGGAGAGGACTCTTTAAAGTAGAGACTCTACATACTGATATACACCTGAACATCAGCAGGAGAGGACTCTTTAAAGTAGAGACTCTACATAATGATATACACCTGAACATTAGCAGGAGAGGACTCTTTAAAGTAGAGACACTACATACTGATATACACCTGAACATCAGCAGGAGAGGACTCTTTAAAGTAGAGACTCTACATACTGATATACACCTGAACATCAGCAGGAGAGGACTCTTTAAAGTAGAGACTCTACATACTGATATACACCTGAACATCAGCAGGAGAGGACTCTTTAAAGTAGAGACACTACATACTGATATACACCTGAACATCAGCAGGAGAGTACTCTTTAAAGTAGAGACACTACATACTGATATACACCTGAACATCAGCAGGAGAGGACTCTTTAAAGTAGAGACTCTACATACTGATATACACCTGAACATCAGCAGGAGAGGACTCTTTAAAGTAGAGACTCTACATACTGATATACACCTGAACATCAGCAGGAGAGGACTCTTTAAAGTAGAGACTCTACATAATGATATACACCTGAACATCAGCAGGAGAGGACTCTTTAAAGTAGAGACACTACATACTGATATACACCTGAACATCAGCAGGAGAGGACTCTTTAAAGTAGAGACTCTACATACTGATATACACCTGAACATCAGCAGGAGAGGACTCTTTAAAGTAGAGACTCTACATACTGATATACACCTGAACATCAGCAGGAGAGGACTCTTTAAAGTAGAGACACTACATACTGATATACACCTGAACATCAGCAGGAGAGGACTCTTTAAAGTAGAGACACTACATACTGATATACACCTGAACATCAGCAGGAGAGGACTCTTTAAAGTAGAGACACTACATACTGATATACACCTGAACATCAGCAGGAGAGGACTCTTTAAAGTAGAGACTCTACATACTGATATACACCTGAACATCAGCAGGAGAGGACTCTTTAAAGTAGAGACTCTACATACTGATATACACCTGAACATCAGCAGGAGAGGACTCTTTAAAGTAGAGACTCTACATACTGATATACACCTGAACATTAGCAGGAGAGGACTCTTTAAAGTAGAGACACTACATACTGATATACACCTGAACATCAGCAGGAGAGGACTCTTTAAAGTAGAGATACTACATACTGATATACACCTGAACATCAGCAGGAGAGGACTCTTTAAAGTAGAGACACTTCATACTGATATACACCTGAACATCAGCAGGAGAGGACTCTTTAAAGTAGAGACACTACATACTGATATACACCTGAACATCAGCAGGAGAGGACTCTTTAAAGTAGAGACACTACATAACTTAAACACATATTTCTCGATGATGATACCTCACACAGTAAATTGATATCATTGTGATTCCTATATGTTATTTATGTATCTGTGTAGGTGTTGAGGTGGGGTTCCCTGCAGGATTTAAGCTAACAAGCATTTAGCTGCTGCTTCTCCTGCAGTCCAGTCAGCCGCTGCCTTTGATGTCGGCGTGTTTTTCCCAGCGTCAGTGAAGGTGGAGGTTGATTTGCATACAAAGATATTCTCTCCTCCTCTTTGTTCTCGCTCAGAGAGAGTGGTGGTCTTCATCAGTCAGACGAGTTTGTCTCAGTGGTTCGGGGCAGATTTGGCGTGACGTCGGGCTGAGGCAAAACTTTTGTGTGCTACCCTGCAGTATACAAAGTCATTCAAACTAGCTGCACCTTTACCAGCTTTGATAACACTTTAAATATCAATCATTATATCAAAACCTATATAATGGAAAACAAATGTATGATCACAAACAAAAACATTTGTCCCAACGTTTAAAATCCGCCATACCAGTCCCATATTTATATATATATTATATATATTATTATTATTATTGTTGTAATTCATATTTATTTTAATCCCGTTTTTCACCACAGGGAGGCAGTGAATTTATCTTTAAACTAAACTAAAATCCCATGATGCATTGCGGTGGTCCGTTTCTAGCTTCCGGTCCTCAGCAGCTATTAGGTAGACGTTGCTAACAGACGTTGACACCGATTTTATACCGAATGTAATGTGTTTAAGAGACTTTTAAAACACATACAAAGAGTTAGTTTATCCTTGGAGGGTGATTTATCCGTTAAACCGTGTTTTTGTTGCCTCCCGTTCTTTGTTCGTAGCTTTTTATACCACGTTGCTGATCGGTAAACATAAGTAAAGGCATTCAACGGAGATTAGTGTGTTTAACGGCAGTGTTTTATCAAGGAGAAGAGAGACTGAAGAACCAGGACGAAGAGGAGAGAGAGAGGTAACATCTGTGTTTGTTTGTTTGTAGCCTTTATTTATCCAGGTTAAAAAATCCCATTGAGATCAACGATCTCTTTTACAAGGGAGACCTGCGGCACATTTAGTTACACATATAAAAACAAACAGAAAACAAAAGGACATCACAACATAATTACAGGGGTATACATTAGCAACCTATTTACATTTACAGGTATCCAATAATATTTCATCCAGCCGTGCTTTAAAACGATGCAAGGTAACCAAAATGCTCAGTTTCAATATTTTTTGCATGGTGTTCCAAGCCAGAGGAGCAGCGCACATAAAAGCTTTAGCACCTAAAACAGTCCTAGCACTTGGCACATGTAATAAAAACACATCCTGTGATCTCAGGCAATAGCTACTTGCCACTCTCCGTGAGATCAAAGAGCAGATATAAGAAGGTAGTTTACCCAGCATGGCTTTGTAGATGAACATGTACCAATGACTGAGCCTCCGTACAGTAAGTGAAGGCAGACCTGCCTTGGCATACAGGGTACAGTGATGAGTAAGTACTTTACAGTTAGTAACAAATCTCAGAGCACTGTGATAGGCGGCATCTAACCTTTCCAGGCAATGGGCAGGTGCATTCATATACAACAAATCACCATAGTCTAGCACAGGTAAAAAGGTCACAGTGACTAGCCTTTTTCTGGCTTCAAAAGAGAAACAGGACTTGTTTCTGAAAAAGAAACCTAGTCTAACCCTCAGCTTTTTAAGCAGATTAGTGACCTGAAGTTTAAAAGTAAGACAATCATCAAGCCAGATACCAAGGTATTTATAATAGCTAACCACTTGGAGTACTTGTCCTTGCATAGTCACAATATCCAAAGCAGTCTCTGGAGTCTTTTTAGCTTTAGAAAAGAGCATTACTTTGGTTTTCTCAACATTTAAAAGAAGCTTTAGTTCAGAGAGCTGAGTCTGAATAATGTTAAAAACAGCCTGTAATTTAACAACCGCCTCCTTAATGGAGGGACCTGCACAGTACATCACGGTGTCATCCGCATAAAAATGCAAAGTAGCTTCATCCACATTTTCACCTAAACTATTGATGTAGATGGAGAATAAAAGTGGACCTAAAACAGAACCTTGAGGAACACCATTAGCAATGTTCAACCACTCAGAAGACAGCCCATCAAAGTGAACACATTGGGACCTTTCAGAGAGGTAGTTCACAAACCACCCCACTGCATGGCTGGATAAGCCAATACTGAGTAGCCTCTGCTTTAAGATGTGATGATCGACTGTGTCAAACGCTTTGGAAAGGTCAATAAATAGAGCTGCACAACTCTGCTTTTTATCCAAAATACTTGTAATGTCATTCACCACTTTCATTGTGGCAGTGATGGTGCTATGTTGCTTTCTGAAGCCTGACTGATGTTTAGACAGAATGTCATTGTTACATAAAAACTCCTTTACCTGTTCACTCACTAGGCGTTCAAGAACCTTAGCCAGAACTGACAATTTAGAGATTGGCCTATAGTTATTTAAAACAGTTGCCTCCCCTCCTTTTAGTAGTGGCAGGACATAAGCTGACTTCCATACTTTAGGAATTGTGTTTGTGCTGAGGGAGAGGTTAAAAAGAGTAGTGAGAGGTGGAGCAATAAAATCTGCAGCTATCTTTAAAAAGAAAGGTTCCACGTTGTCCGGGCCAGCCGGTTTCTTAGGATCTCACTTAGATAAAGCTTCATGAACAACATTTACAGTAAAAGGAGTAAAACTGAAAGTGTTTTCCAGACCACATTGTTCAGAGTCACCGACTGTGGCGTTCACAGTAGCAGAGTTTGTCACAGAATCAAACATAGAACCGCAGGACACAAAATGCTCATTAAAACAATTTAACATAGTAGCCCTGTCCGATATAGAGCCATATGCTGTGGTAATGCACGGAGGTAGCTCATTTCGGATCTCACCGGTGGATATCGATTTTATGGCTTTCCAAAATTTCCTAGGATTATTTAGGTTTTCTGTAGTAACTGACAAATAGTACTTCGACTTAGCACTTTTGACATGTGAAGTGAAGCTATTTCTTAGTTGCCTAAAACGCAGCCATTCTACCTCTGAGCCTGATTTCCTAGCCTTTGCCCAGGCCTTGTTTCTCTCATGTAGGAGACTAGACAGTTCAGCAGAAAACCAAGGATTGTCTCGTCCCTTTACTCTAAAAGTACGTAGGGGTGCATGTTTATCTATAATTTCCATAAAACCAAGATAAAAATAAGACCATGCAGTTTCAACATCAGCACACAGATCGATTTTTCCCCAATCAAACCCAAACAGATCATGAACAAAACCCTGCTCCAAAAAATGTTTTATGTGTCTCTTAATAATAATACGGGGTTTAACCTTTTGGACCTTAGTGTCCCTAATTGTGGCTACAACACAGTGGTCACTCACATCATTTGCAAATACTCCCACAGATGGGTATTTATAGGGAACATTAGTTAGAATGAGATCAATTAGGGATGATTTATTAGGGGACTTAACGTTAGGGCGAGTAGGACTATCTACAATCTGAGTAACATTCAGAGAGATACAAAGGTTTTTAAAATCCTCTGATACTGCAGTTAACCAGTCCCAGTTAAAATCTCCAAGTAGCACTATTTCCTTGTAGTCTAGTTGTGATAAAAGTTTTGCTAGTGAAGACAAGGAGTCCTTGACAGCTGAGGGGGGTCTGTAACAGCCCACCACCATGACTTGTTGCCCCTTTGCCACTTCTATATTTAAGGCTAAAAATTCGAATTGCTTACTGACAGATTTGGAGATCAATGTGGTTACACTGTACTTATTCTTAACATAAATGGCAACTCCACCACCTTTATTAGGCCGGTCGGTACGATACACATTATAACCATTTAAGGATATGTCAGAGGCCAAAATAGTTTTATTTAGCCATGTTTCTGATAACACAATGACGTCAGCGTCAGTCGAGCTTGCCCAAATGCGGACAAAATCTAGTTTACCTAACAGACTGCGCACATTCAAGTGGATGAAACCCAACCCAGATCTAGCTTTAAAATCAGCAGGAGTAGCGATCTGACTACTACTACTGGGCGGACCAGGGTTAGGTTGAACATTTCCTGACAGTAATAACAACAAAAAAACCAGACATCTTTTCCTCTTAATCGACACACACACATTGTCATCTACTTTAGAATCTGTGTCTGTGTGTGTGTGTGTGTGTGTGTGTGTGTGTGTGTGTGTGTTGTGTGTGTGTGTGTGTGTGTGTGTGTGTGTGTGTGTGTGTGTGTGTGTGTGTGTGTGTGTGTGTGTGTGTGTGTGTGTGTGTGTGTGTGTGTGTGTGTGTGTGTGTGTGTGTGTGTGTGTGTGTGTGTGTGTGGTGTGTGTGTGTGTGTGTGTGTGTGTGTGTGTGTGTGTGTGTGTGTGTGTGTGTGTGTGTGTGTGTGTGTGTGTGTGTGTGTGTGTGTGTGTGTGTGTGTGTGTGTGTGTGTGTGTGTGTGTGTGTGTGTGTGTGTGTGTGTGTGTGTGTGTCGCAGGCACAGGGTAGCTTGTGAATTTGCTCCAGGTGGAACTAAAGTCTGATTTTAAGAGTTGATTATATTTCACATAATTGATCCAAATATGTGAAGTAACTAAAGGTTTTCAATACATAGTGGAGTAAAAGTACAAAGTAGCATTAAATGGAAATAGTGTTGACAGACCTGCTGTTCAAGTGGCCGTGACAGACCTCACTTTTACCTCACCTACCTCTATTAAGCTTACCATTGATAACAAATGCTAAATTGGCTATAATTTGGTTTGATGGAAAGGATGTATGTCTCAATAATGTCTTACCAGACATGTGAAACTAGACAGAACATCCTGAACTCTTGACCTATGCACATTATTTATTTTAGAAGGTGCAAGCAAAGCATAAAAGTTCCAACCACAATTCTAGGAAAGCGTTGTGGTTTTTGACACCTTGACAACGGTTACAACGATTGAGGACAACAATGCACACAGGATGAGAGTGAACTGTGTACAGACCATAGACTGTATATATAAATGGACGTAGTGTCCGTGACGTCACCCATAGGATTCTGCAGAGTTGCCGAGAAGCCTAAAGTAGGTGGTTTCGGCCACTAACGGCTCGACAGTGACGTCAGAGTCCAACTCCCGCCTGCTCCAGCCTGATCCAAATAAGGGCAAAGAGGCGGAGCCGAGGCGGGACCTCCTGCCACCGAGCTGGAAGCTCCAGAGCTAGCTGAGTCTACCAAGCTAAGCTAACATGCTCAGCAGTGCTTTTCTGTGATGCTAGCCGGCTAACCTACATCTGTTGCTCCCGGTCTGCACGTTTTACGTTGCTTAAAGGTGGGGTGGGTAATTTTGGAGAAACCAGCTCGAGTGCGCTTGAATTTTGAAAATACACAGCCGGAACAAATCTGCCACTTCCTTATAGAGCCCCTCCTCCAACACACACGAACGCGCACATGACCAATGAGGGCACGAGATAAGTTTGTGCACAGATGGAAGGCTGACAGGCAGGTAGGCCATCCAGTTATTTTAGCCGGGCCGGCTAAAATGATTGGTCGTGCTTTTTACAGTACTACGGCTTCCACAGATGACATTCCTTTATGGATTTTTTGTCAAAGCACTTAAGATATTCATTGCTATCGGGATGTTAAGAGCATGTTTTTACTTGATTCATTAAGTAAGAATTTAACCTGTGTGACCTCCTTCTCACTCAAAGATAGAAAAGGGGAAACCACCTGATGCAGAGAGGGAGGAGGGAAGAGACTATAAAATATGATGAGTGAAGAGAAACGGGGGAGCTTGGGGGGACTTTTTTGAGGCTTGATTTTGGGTCTTGGGTTCTTTTAGGTCTCTAGGGGGTTCACTTGGGAACCTGTTGCTTTTGTACTTTGACCTTGTAAAACCTTTGTTATTTTTTGCATCTTGTAAATCCTCTATATTTGTAAAAAACCTAATAAAACTGGTTTGTACTTTGTACATTTCGACCCAATTCCTGGTGTCTCTGGTGGTCTCTGAAGGTATCTGCTTGGTCTTAGAGTAAGGTAAGAACACCCTTCCTTGGAAAAGGCTGACAGTAGTTGATGATTTGGACTTGAAATAGAAACCCTGCTAAGGTTAAGCTGTAGTTTCATATTGGTTACTGTTAGGGATGGGTACCGAGCCCCGGTATTAAACGGGCCCCGGGGCTGAATTATTAAAGACCGTGGTACCGTTAAGCTCCGACGTTATCGGTCTTTTTATCGGTACTGGAGACATCTAAAAAATATGTCATGTGTATTATTGCTACACAAACATTATATTGCAGTTTTAGTGTCGCCAACTCCGTTTCTAATACGCAAAAAGACTGCAAAATGCGTCATTTTTAGTATTTTCGATCTCTCCAATCCAGACGAGAGATCTCTCTCCCCCGCCTGCTTGCGAGGGGGCGGGGCAGTTTACACACACGCAGCTGCTACATGCAGCAACACACACACACACGGAGGAGATGGCGGAGAGAACGCGCTCCGAGGTGTGGTTAAACTTTACCCGTCTCGCTCGTTGCCTAAAGTGCAATAAGAGTTTAGCATGTCAGGGCGGTAACACGAGCAATTTGTCTAAACATCTTGCAAAAGTGCACCACGTTCAGACGGAGAAATGCACCGGGTTCGACTGTCTCTCTAGTAGCTCTGTAGCCCCATCCACGAGTAACGTTTCCACGTCAGGTGTTATGTATGCTAGCAGCATCACACGGAGCTAACTCAATGATTCAAACATGGGTTAATGATTAGAGGGAACTGAGTTATTTAGTTTGTTAAAGTTTCAGCCATTCTGTTCACAGTTCTGTCATCAGATTATTTAATATGATTTGTTAAAACGTTGTTGTTTCTGTTGATGTGAAATATTATGTATTTCATTTAAATAAAAAGCAATGTTAGTTTTGTTCACAATTTGTTAATTTTCATTTAATTGTTTATTTGAATAGGGACAATGCACATTAATGAACACTTTAGACAAATAATGCTTCAAGTAGGGTGACCAGGTGCCAGAAAGCCACAAGTGGGACAGAGAGTATGTTTGTGTGGGACAATGTGGGACATGTAAATGTAATGTTGACGCATGAACTGTCAACGGGGGGGGTACACTGTGGACCTCTGTCGCCTGTCAGCGCAACTTACATAATGCCGTTTAAAACATATCATAATGGGCGGTGCCGGCCG